TTACATTCTCTTAATGAATAGAGTGATTTGTTCTAATGGTGTTAGGATATCATGTCCACATCTTGTACAGCAATTAACCACTAGGAAGAATGTATACAGTGTGTTAATTCTCACTTCTGTTCCCTTCTATCAGGTAGACTGTGATGTTTGCTTCTTGAATAGACAGCCCTCCCTCAGGACTGGATATATTAAGTAATGTGAATTAAACATTTAAATCACTGTCCATCCTCACTTAAGAAACCTTCTTAGACCCTGGTTCTAAGAAAGAGAAAGAGGGGAGGAGGTCTAGGGAACTGCATAGCCTCTTCAACCAGTGTGAGAATCTGCCTTCCTTGTCAGTGAAAGGCAGGAGTCTTGTTCCTTCTCTCATCCTTTGGGCCACTTGCTGGTACAGGCTGTTATTTCAAGAGACATGCAACCCTACATTATTGATGGAGTTGAGGATCTAGCCTACATCTAGACCTGACCAAGGTGAGTTCTTCTAACTTAATCTTAAAAGTATCAGACTGAAAGTACCATAGATTTTCTTTGGGTGACACTCTGCAGTCTGGCTTTTATTAAATTCATCTATATCTACTGTTAACTCACTGTAATAAGTTGCATCCCTTAGACTTTCTGAAATGTGACAGGGATAATTAATAAAAATTAAAAATCAACTCACTCTAATAAGCTTCATCCTTTAGATTTTCTGAAGTGTGATAGGATAATTAATAAAAATTAAAAGCCAGAAGGTGACTTACCAGAGACTGAAAAACCAACAAGCCATATTTCTCAGTATTATCATCCAAAATCACAAAGAGTGTATCTAAGATGTCTTGCAGAAACTGAAAACAAAATAAAAAGCAGAGGGTTCAGGTCTCAAGTCCTTGTATGCATAATCAGACTTCCATATGCTAATGAAATCATCTCCCAATAAACAAAGTGAAAGATCTCCTGGTATATTAAAATATGACCTAAGAATAGTGTAGTGCTATACCATGCATCTAGCCAAGGGTAAACTAGATGAACTTGGAGTGTGTTCCTATAGCCCAAGGACCCTATGAAAGACTTATATTCTTTTTTGGGTAAGGCAATTACATAACAAAACAGGACATGCAAAGAATACCAATTTTGAAGTCAAAGATGCAGTCATTCTGATGCCAGATTCACCTTGAGAAACAGATCACTTCCCTGAGTTCCAGAGATCAGTAATCTCTTGCTGTTTGCAGTGGCCTCATGATAAGGAGTACACTTGGATGACACCATGGTAAAGTAAGGTTTATCTACAGAAACTATTATTATCCAAGAAGAAGGGAGAATACATCTGATCAGGGATACAAACAAGGGTAAAATACTATATCTGTTTTTTGTTTTTTTTTTGGTGGAACTGGGGATTGAACTCAGACCCTTGAACTTGACAGGGAAGTGCTTATTCTACTGAGCCATCTCCCCGGCCCCTAAAATACTATATCTGGTAGTGTTCATGTTGCTGTTGTTTTTTGAGCATGTACCTTCTTTCTGAGTTGCAAAAACAAGAAATAAATAGTGATGGATATTTAGAGTCTTTAAAAATCAAATCTAACATTCTGCCGTTCAAATACCAATTTAAATGATACAATATTTACAATTTATTTTTAAAATAATATAGATTCTAGGTTAGGTATTGATGTTTGTTGAAACAAGGTGAAGTATACATATAGGATTCTTTATACTACTGTCTACTATTGGGTATGCTTGAAATTTTCTACTAAAAAGTAAAAATGCCAGCATGCTCTCTTTAGGCTGATTCAAGTTTTAAACTAGAAATACTGATAAGAAAAAAAAATATTGGTAAGATATTTTATTATCAGGCCAATGACAACTCACCTTTAAAAAGACCACAAACTTCTTAATATTTTATCTGCATATTGGTTGATATTTTTAATATGTTTAAAAGGAAGATATGAATATGAATTTAAGTTTCAAAACTAGCATTAGCTTGTCTGTGAAGAAATTAAAAGACCCAAGATAATCTGATCAATTGATTAAAACAAAATTCACATAATAGCTTCATTAAGGTACATGACTTTAATATTGTTCCTCTTTTGGATACTCTATGTTATGTACTGTTGAGTAAGTGGAGCTGTGAAATAAAAGTACACAGTGCATCTGTGCTTATGGCTTTGTATTTATGATGGCTGGGCTCATTATGGACAGGATACCTTCTTGAGATTTAACCTATAGCCTGCATTCTATTGCCCTTGTTGATGACTGAAAGAACCTTTACTTTTTCTCAGTATGGTCAGTTCACTCAACTGCTGGGCTTTCATCATTAGGAAATACCTGGGTGTTCTTGAGCTAAAACTAGGTGGGCAAAGATTCTACTCAGAGAAGCCTTCCAGAGACATCTGGAAACTCGCTATGTTGCTGTTAGTCTGCTTAGCGCCTAAGATGGGAAATGTCAGAAAGGTCTCTAGAGGAAACAATTGACACAGGGGCTAAGGAAGGTTTTGCTTTCGTGGATTATAAGTAGGAGATGAGGCAAACTCAGCAGCTGCAAGTAAGTGGACAATATTCAGAGTTATTACAATAATAAGTGTATAGCCAGAAAAACATGAAGCTGAATTTGTGGTAAAAAGGTTATAAAGTAAGGAAATTGAGAAAGCGGGCTAAAGAAGAAAAAGGAGATCTGAAAGAATGCAGGTAGCACTAAACACTAGTTTGTTCTGAGAAGATGCTTTACTATTACCCTTTGATCATTGTTTTGCTCTCTAGGAAGAAAAGTCATAAAATAACGCTTATGATTTGAATATAATTTTAAAGATACAATAAATCTTATATATACTTAAAAACAGCTAACAAGAAAAATCTCGAACCTATTCCTATTCACCTATGATGTACTTGAAGAAGTCTTAGAGGCGTGCCAGCAGAAAAAATCATGTGGAGACTTATCTTCTGCTATTCTGATTCTTTCTCAGGCAGTATGTTAGAATTGGGTGAAAGACATACCTTAACAATTTCCTCCCCACTGACATGTCGCAACCGCCCTAGGATGTCCATAATCCGGTCTGGGAAGGCCTTCCATTTCAGGAGAGCGAGGAGGTCCACTAAAAAGCAAGCCCAAAAGATGGTGAGCCCTGGCTGTTAGAGGCTAGGAGAGGCCTAGACTCTCTCAGACAAGTATAGATAGGGAGAAAAGTTTAAAGTATCACATTGGTGATGAAATCTGGGGCAGAGATAAATCTGTACACCTTGGTTGTATATTGGGGAACTACTAAAACCATAAGAAACTTTATAGGGTGCTATTGCTGAGTAATTTCTTCAACTTCAAATGAAAACTCTTAATATTACAGCATGAAGAAGTAATTTCACTCCAAGAGCTGAGCACAATGAAGGGCACTACTTGCAGGTACCATCACTTACCATTCTGGGTGAGTTTAGTAGAAGAAAGTTGTGTGGAAATGAAGAACGACTCTTTGGTGCTGCGCTGGAAGATGAGGCTGGAGGGGATATTAGGGCAGCCATTGTAATCTTCTTTGCAGCAGGGCAGGCCCAGGTAGAGAGCATGGTTGTTAAACGTGCTATTCTCATCACACTGTAGGCAAAAGAAGAGAAGAGAGCATGTTCCTTAGCCACATCACATGCAAAAGCCAGGTCCCAGAGGATTTCTAAGTTGATATTTGCTCTCATCTTCCAAAAGCTGGATCTTGGGGCTCAGGTCCTTTTGGATGAGCACTTTCTATTCAGAAAATTCTGAGAACAGCTCATGTGCTTTTTAAATAGAACATGGTGGGGCACATGGTGTTCACAACCTGGAGTAATTTGCTATGATGTGACAGCTGACAATGCCGTGATTTCAAGTTGCAGGTCTCAGAATGCACTCACCCAGACCACAGAGGAGATGGTGACACATTTCTATCCAATGAACGGGGAAGGTGGGAAAGAAGTGGCCTGTTGGTGTTAGTTGTGGGAGGAAGGTCAATGAACTTAGAAGATAAAAGTCTACCCACACAGCTGTCTTATTGTCATTCACTAGTGTACCACCCTGAATCCTAGCCTACCCAATGAAAACCACTTGAGAATCATGCGTGTGAGTGGAGGAGTAGGGATGAAAGTCAGCCAGGCTCTGTACCTTGTACACGTAAAGCTCATGAATATCATCTGAGAGGGTGGTGCCGTCATCACGCATCAGAGGTGAGAATGCAAAGCCGAAAAGTTTCTTTTCTCCTTTGTCTTTTGCTGCAGAGTGAAGTGTTAGCTGTTATTCCATTCCATCTTTTAATAGAAATTCCCTTTGTGCTTGTCACCTACACATCTTTGTCCTTTACTTCTGTCATCAACTAGATAACAACTTGACTACAGAAATGATGAGAAATACTCTGGATTAGTTCATACTTTGAATTTTTACCCTAATGTATACAGGCTACCTAGATCCAAACAGAAAATAAATTGCTCATCTTGATGAACAAGGGGTTAAGAAGTATCTTAATAGATACAAAGCAAACACCCAAAGGAGAATGATACTAGATATTTATGATACTAGGAAGGGCCAATATAAGATCCCTTGGTTTCAAACCACTACTTTAGCAGTACAATAAATGGACTCTGATGACATCCTGTATCTGAGTATACATTTATACCCACCCCTTCATTTTCTTGCCTGAATAAAAGAATTCTTTTAATTCCAATCTAGAAAGGCGAAAGAGTTAGTCTTCAAGGGAGCATGGAGGGCAAGCTTACTTACTGGAACAATGTCTGAACTCGAAGCGCAGGTGGGAGCCCCGGAATCTGTCAATGGGGATAGGCAATTTGATAATTTCTCCCCAACGAGGACTATTACTATGATAAAGAACAAAGGAGTGATAGGAACTCCTATTTGGCTCTCCTGAACCCAAGCTGATACAATCCTGGAAGAAACAAGTAAATGAAGATGTTATCTTCATGGAGAGAGAGAATCTGGATTTCTCTTGTGTCACTAGGAGCCTTTATTTTCCCTGCTTGAAGGCCTTATTTTCATATTTTGCTAAAGCTACGAAATGTGAATAAATTTGACTTAAATTCAGTATTTTTATAAGCAATTGTGCAGATGGCATAAGCAATTAGTAGACACAATGCTCCTTGTTTTCCTTGGGTCATAAGTAACTCTACATACTGGTTAACAAATTGGAAGAAAGAAGAGTAGTGCATCTGAATCACTAATAGTCTTTTCTTCCACTAAGAAAAGAAAAAATGTTTCACAAGTCAATTGTATGCAACATTTTATAGATAGGATAGAATAAAATTACAAAGTACAGAACTTTTTCCTCTTAATTTTCCTTGGCCTATTATTAGATTGGAACTTGAGGTCATCCTATGCTGACTTTCCTTGAATATAAGTACCACACGCTAACCAATTGTGCCACTGGTGTGTTTTTTCCTTGAATATAAACAGATTTAACTAGACCCCATCTCCCAAATAATTCCGTGAATGTATAGTCTCAGAACTGCCCATGCCCTACCCTGTAGGATAGGAGGTATTGGTCAACACAATCAGGAGCAACTTCCTGTCCATACAGGGTTGGTACAACTGATAGACAGTTTTACTGTTTTTGGCAGTCTCCATGCAAGCCATAACCATGCCTAAGTTCTTGAGTTTAGTTCTTTAAATGATACATAAATCACTATTTCAACATTCTCTTCTATTTTTTTTTCTAGTTTTGGGAGATGACTTCAACTAATTTTGCCTTTTTCATCTGTAAAAGGGGGATGATTACTTCTTTTCTGCCTATGTCAGGGTGGCTGTTTTATTGAAGAGTTATTTGCCTTTTACCTCATGTGCAATGCAACCATGATGACTGAGGAGAAAACTGACACAAAGGCAACAGAAAAAAATATAGTATGGGCCTCCATTTTCAAGGAAGAGTGACAGATGAGCCTTCTAACATATCGGCTGGAAACAAATTTCCAGGCTTAAACATGTTGTTCCTTGTCCTATAACGGTATCAGGTGAGTGTCTCAGTCCCACCTTGACCAAAGTGCAAATATACTACTTTGTGTTAGCTCAAGGAACAAGAAGGCAAAGTGAAACCTTATTACAATTAGCAAAGGTAGGAAGCTGTAAATTAGGTGGAATGGCAGAAGAGGTAACAAGAACTAGAGGTAATAGGTTTCACCTGGAGCAGGAGGGATTTGGGTGAGACACTAGGAAAATGTTCTGCAAAGGCTAACACCAGAAGTCATTATCAAAGTATTGTGTAGGGAGGGTTTCCTTAAAAAAAGAAAATGGCAGAAAATAATGCATATGAGATGTTTGAGATTAGTAGCAGACCTTCCACAGATGCACTAGAATTATTGTATTAGACTCTTTTTGGAATGACTGGCTGGTAAGTCTTACCTTTAAGATTTCTCCATCTGCATAAAGTACATACATGGTCACTTCAATATTCTTTTGTACACTCTTTCCCCCTCTCTCAAAATCCCCCTTCTCCAAAGTCAGGTATAAGTCATTGCGGATATCACCTGTAGGGAAAGAAATGCCATGTCCTCATGACCATATCACTGCACTATTTACATGGAGGACCAAACTATCATTTGGGTCCTCAAGAGCTCAGTGGGTGTTCAGGGCATTCCAAGCTTGGTTAATAACAATGGACATTCTTTCAATATCATTTTAGCAGTACTTAGGAAGGTTAGTTATGATTTTTTCTAAGTCTGAATCTGGTGTTTACTCCAGGGTAGAGAACTTTCTCTGCCCAGTTTTGCTCCTCTCTAAAGGAATGGCTGAAAACTAAGCTACACAAGAGAGAAGATTTTTGAATAAAAACAACACCTTTTTGAAATCATGTCTGTATTACCTACTTTTAATTTCTATGGCTCTTTTCTCTAATTTTTTTCTCTGTTTTTTTAACTAAGTTTTCTGTTTTACAATTACCAAAACCTCTGAGTCCAACTAGAGGATATATCATTCCTTTTTCTGGAGGCTTTGCTCCAAATCTCATTCCCTGAGGGAATATCAGGCTAAGGTTACTGGACTACTTGTCAATGTGTCTTCTTTTTGTGTGCAGACTTTGGAAACACATCACAGCAAAAGCACAAGTGTGATAACAATGGGGAAGTAATCTGTGGCTCTTGTTGCCTTCCTGTACTCTGACTCTGGTCCATTTTGCCTCTATGTTATTCAAGACTGAGCTGAAAAAGCTCAAACTCTTAAGTTCAAAATGATTCAAGTCATATCTGCTTTTTTGGGGAGAAGTGAATTAAAGGCAAACAAAGGTGTCTATTCATGTACAAAAACAGCTTATTTAAGTTGCTCTAAGTTTCTAAATCTGTAGCATGACCAGTTTTATTCATATATTCTAAAGAAAGGCTTTTGACTTTCAAAAAACAGTAAAAAAAAAACACTATGGGGAAATGGTAAGCCCTTCCATTCTTCAAGTCATCTTCTTATTCTAGCAGTGCAATTTTATAATCACAGTTATTTGGATGCATAATCAAGGGTTTCAAAATATTTTGGTTCTAGTGGAGAACAGCAGCCCATGACAACTAAGTATTCCCTGGGAGACTTGAGAATTTTCTCCAATGTGTGAAAGCTATCCTGTTTCTAAACAAGTAGCCCTGAAGCCACCATGAAGGGAAGAGGAAAATATGTACAAAAATCATAAACAAATGCAATTGCTGCTTATGTGGGCCAGCCTTGAGGATGTCCATCTTTGCAGTCTAATAACACTTTCCGGGCCGGGGAGATGGCTCAGTGGAGTAAGTGCTTCCTTGGCAAGCTCAAGGACCTGAGTTCAATCCCTGGTTCCGCAAAAACAAACAAACAAACAAACAAACAAAAAAAAAAAACCAACAACACTTTTTTTCTAGGTTTGGCAGAGCCTGTGCTTTGAATTCTAATGAGTTGGGAACTTTAATCGTTTTCCTTTGGATATCTATGCCTGGGACCTCCTAATAGATCGCTGATAGAACTCAGATGTGCAGGTGAGTATGTAGATGGGTGAGGTAAGGTAGCTAGAAAGAAAGGAAAATCAAGTTTATCAGGACACAGGATAAATAAAACCAGTCCTGAAAGTACTAATAGCATCTTCTGATAAAAGTCTTTTAGTTACATAGTAGCTTTTCTATAAGATTTAAGTAATCATTCAATTTCTAGAATTTAGTATTAAGTAATAGTCTAGAGAAATTTAATGTCTAATCTAAAGAAAAAGAATCTGGTTTCCCCTCTCTGGAAGTTATTCTCAAGATAATCTATGTGGCTTTTGAAAGCAGTTATCTACTGGTTACTATATGCACAGCTTTATACACAGGCTAACCATGCTAAAATAAACACACCCTTGAAATGAAATGCTCTAAACTTTTCTTAGCAATATGGGACACAGAATACCAACAACATTAGGCCTTGTCTTACAAACTGTTAATGACAGAATTTGATGTGTTGATTTTATAGAATGAGATCATAATTTCTTAGCATGATATTCTAAGCCAAAATGCCAATTTCTGAATCAAAGGATTGAGTTGGGAAGTTCTATGGTTTTCATTCTTTGTTGGTATTATCTACTTGAGAAAAAGTTTATTCATTATAATTTATGTGTTTGGGATAGGGTCTCACTATGTAGCTCAGACTCATAGTAATCCTCCTGTTTTCAGCCTCCCCAGCACTGGGATTACAGGCATACACCACCATATTAGCTCTAGGTGGCCAGCATAGTGTGTTCGGGGGTGGGGTTGGCATGGCATGTGGTACAGGGATCAAATCATGGTCCCTATGCTTGCCTAAGCAGGTGCTTAGTCCACTGAGCTATCTCACCAGCCCTGAAAAAAAAATTTTAATACAAGTGGAACACTCTGAGTTATAGACTGAAAAAAACAATTTTATTCAGTCTCTGGTTGCTCTTTATATGGAGAATGGACTTTCCTAGAATATGACTGGTTTCAGTCAGAATGCATGTTAGATTGCCTTATGAATTGCAGTTTTGCAAATTATGGCTTGAATGCAGAGTGACCCTTTGTGAAAGGTATCATTGATTCAGTGTGTGTGGGTTATTGTCAAAAGTTCTCTGTGAGAGCATTTAAATGGAGATCATTTAATTCTGCTGGAATTAGAAGGAAACACTAAGAAGCACATGTGAAGGTCTTAAGTTTGCCTTACAGATAATTTCCAGAGCTATATTCTTCAGAGGTTGCCGTGTTTAAACTCACAAGTGGAATCATGTTCTGGATTAAGGCACTGTCTTTGGATGCTCCTGTAAATTCAAGCACTGACTATCAAGAAATGTTACCTGGAGAGGCATGAGAACAGGTACATTATAATGAAAAGGAAAACAAGGCAAAGCAGTGGTTCTGGACCTTCATTTGCAGACTACTGCTGACTGGGTATACTAGAATCACTTGAGGAACTTGTTAAAAATAGATGTATAAGGGCTGGCCAAACAGCTCAGCAGATTAAAGTGCCTGCTTAGGCAGACGCAGGGGCTGGTGGTTCGATGCCCAGCCTGCTGCCCCACCACTGGGGCATGCTGAGATGGCAATTGAGGCTAGGTGGGGTGGTGTGCGCCTGTAATCCCAACTCTTTGGGAGGCTGAACACAGGTGGATCATTACAAGTCTGATCTACATAGTGAGACCCTGTAGACCCTTACTAAAAAATACAAAAAAAAAATTACAGAATCTACCCTTAAGATTATTGGAATTTTTGGGTACATGCACTTGTAAAATATCTCTAGGTAATTCTGCCTGATAAAATTTGATGCTAAAGGGCTGGGTGGCTCTTAGGCAGTATGGAGAAGTGTTGGGAGCGTGAAGCTCTTTTGCAGGGTGTGGGAGTAGGTATTATGGAGGATGGTTCTGCTGATGGAGCTCCCTTTTAGGAAAGCTTGGACAGCCTTGCTTCCCTTTGTTGGGTACCCTCTGATTCCTAAGAATGGGTGGGATCTTATAGCATGAACAGTGCCTTATAGCTGTGTTTAGTGCTTTTTGGGTGCTGGACATGAGTGTCTCTTGAATGGAGTTCAATGACTTGAGTTTATTCTTTTAAGAAGGCCACAGAATAAACTGTCTCTATTTCTCTCACAGTTTTCACAATAGTTGTTGATACACCTGCATGTCAGGAAAGTAGGTAGTTAAGAGGAGGTACTAGGATTGGGAAAGTTTCTTCTGGGCATACTAGATAGTAAATACATTAGATCTTGCTGGTCATACACATCTCTGTTATTATATGTCATTTGTTCTTACAATCATTTTAATAAATAAAAGCACATTTTAGTTGCAAGCAGTACAAAAACAGACTGCTGGCTAGATGGGCCCAGGCTAAAGCTCACTGATCTCTGAGCTGGAATGTTTACATATGAAGAATAGTTATGCTACACTGCAACCACACACACACATAAAATACATATATCTGTGAATGTATACAAACTGCTGGTAGGAAGAAGCAAAGTAACAGATCTCAGGCTATCTTATCATGATAGGGATTGACTTGAAATACTTTGGGACAGTGAGAGGAATGAGACAGAAAAGGTGCTGATCAATCAACAGAAATCTTAGGGATCTGGTGAGTACCACGACAGAATTGCATGAATCATAACATCTAGCAGTGACAAGTCTGATCTTCCAAAGACATGGATCCTAATACGACTCTGCAGAAACAGAGATTGTGAAATATTTGTAGGTCTCTTCCAATAACAGTCTCCTTACAGGTCTCAGAAACTCTAAGATATGGCTTAAACAACAGGTTATAATGCTAGCAAGAAAATCTCTTGCCTGAAATTATAACCTTAGTTGTACTTCGGAGTCATTTGTCTGGCCTATGTGGAACCAGCACAGTAGAAAATGATTAATGAGGGCCCCACAAGTTTGGGCAACTCAATCTTGTTCAAAAAAATTTTTTTTATTATAGTCATGTCCTTCTGTAAAAATTATAACCATATATTAAGAAGCCTTGGTTTCCAGCAAAATAGTATTTAATACTATATTTTTATACTTTGTTCTGACTTTATGAGTTTTTGTGGATATGGCTTCTCTCCCTTGAAACCATGAAAAATGAGTACTGATGTTCTCTTAGCACACATGAGTGTACTTGGATGGTACCAATTCCTTCTCTTGGCATTTAGGAAGAAGTCTCTTCATAGAATCTGTGGATATGTGGAGCTATCATTCTACATGGAATTTTGGGAATGTGAGCTCAATGTTTTATTTTGTAGTAGTTCTCGTTTTCTTGAGGAGAAAAAAAAAAGACTCTAGGAGGGCTTTTTTAAGTACCCAGAAAAGATGAGCTCTTTATTTTCTTAGCATGTTTTCAGTGTCACACTTCTGATTTTTATCACTGGGAAGTTAGTGATGCCCTCTTCTGTTAACAGAATGACAAGTGTGGGCATAGTGTGGCATCATTTATATACTGTCATTCCTTTCTTGAGTCAGGAATGTGATGATCTTCCAAACTCCTATGGGATCATAAGTGATGATTCTTGAATGACCCCTTAGCAATAATGCCAAAGTCTCATTTGACACAGACTGACTATAGTC